GGTATTCGTTTCTCTGGGCCATTCTTCCACCATTTGGAGTTTTCCCAAATCATGACGTTAGAGTGCTGTATCTGCATTCAGTGTTTGTAGTGAAGCAGCCGATGCCATTTCAGACATACAAAGCCCAACTACAGCAACTTGCCACACAAAGTTGCTAGACACTGCACCGCTGGCGAGCCAGGACAGGGTTTGCAACACTTGGGGAAGACAAGACTGTTTCTTTGGCGCATCACATTTAAAAGCTCCATGCTTTATGAGCTGCTCTACATTTCATTCTGGTGAAAGCGGCTTGGGAGGGTTGCTTCCTTGGTTCTCCAACTGAGGCTGTTACTGGCAGAGCTTGCCAACAATTATTCTAGTATTTCTCAGGCATGTCATGAACAGAGCTGGCTGGAGCCGGGGGTCAGGCTGGTTGCCCCAGGGGGTCCCTTCGGAGTTGCTCCGCTTTTGTGCTTCTGTGTTCACCCAAATGGCCCTCACCTGCACAGGCAGCCTGCACCTTCAAGGTGAAGCTGCAGGGCTGGGCGGCCTGTCTCCCCGGTCAGGAGGAATCTATCTTTTGCTAGAAGCTGGAGCCAATTGCGGCACCCCAAAATACCTCACGAATGGTGAGCCAGAGGGAGGCCACAGAGTAAAAACACCACAGTTATATACATGCGCTGGTGGGATAGCATTTTTGGTAAGGCACGGTGGGAAAAGATGCTGTTGTCATGAGTTGTGTATTAGGAGCTATTCTCACCTTACCCTGTTGTATCCCATGCTTTATCAAGCTTATTCAACCTGTTATACAAGGTACCCGTATGGTGGCCACCCCGGTGGATGCCTCACCCCAGGAGTCTTCAGTGGGCCAAATCATGGTCTCAAAGCCTCTTACACCGGATATTTCTCAACTCAAAGAAACGCCAGAGTGCGCTAACTCAGATATGTGCAGAATTATGTTTCTTCGTCGTGGCCTCTGTGCATCACACATATGGGTTCTGCGCCTGCGCAGTGCCTTTGGCCGGAAGATTAACAGCTAACAGTTTTTGGTGGGAACTCCACTCCCCCTCCTCCCTAGCATTATATAAGGAGTGGAGTGTCCGCCATTTTCCAGTCTTTGCGAGCACCGTTCGTCGTGCCTCGTGCCACTTCGCCCTCGCTTAGATCATTACTTACCTCTCGCTTGTTGAAAAACTTCCCTTTTTCTTACCAAGTTAGTATTCCTTCGTTCCTGTTACTGTTAGCGTTTTCACAGTTCTTGCTTTTCATCTTTTTTCTTTCTTTCTATAAAAAAACCCCCCCCAAAAATATTACTTTCCCGCTTTACTATCTCCTTCTCTTCTATTTCTACAATGATGCAACGGGCTGCATTCTGCAAGTGCGGGAAGTGCGGCTCCAAAATGCCCACCGCAGACCCGCATGACCTGTGCCTCCTTTGCCTGGGGGAAGGGCACAAGACAGATAAATGCGGCCACTGCTTGGCCTCCAATCAGGTGAGGAAGAATTGGGAGAACCGCCTCCGCAAGCTCTTGTGGGACCAGACTCTCCTCCAATCGGACCGGCTGGTGGCTAAGCCTCCCACAACTGTGGCTCCACCCGAAGGCCATTCAACTTTGGCTGACCAGCTGCAACGCCCGGCCTCTTCCTCCATTGCTCCGCCCTCACGCCCTTCTGAAGAAGGTGCTCCTACCATGGCTGATCAGCTCGTTTCCCTACCAAGGAAACAAAAGGAGAAGAGGAAGCACAGTGATTTGGACAAACATCCTGTGCATCAGAAGGCCAAAAAGGATAAGGTGGGCAAGCCGGTTAAAAAGCCAAGGAATCCCGAGCATGCAAAGCATCGCCACTCGGGTTCGGCGACTTCCTCAATCTCGACTCCGGCCACGGAACCGACCTCCTCGGTCCCAACCATCCAGGCGGCTATGAGGGTTACTCCACCAGGCTCACCGCGCTGACCGGCAGCCGAACCCCTTCTGGATCCGCGGCGTGGCTCAATCTCAGATGGTGAAATAAGAGATTCTCCACCGAGAGCTCGGTCGCCAACACCAATGCCGCCTGTTCCTCTGGATACCGACATTGCCATCTCTCCTCCGAGAAGCCGCAGGAGCCGTTCTTCGGATGCTAGATCCGATGATTGGTACCATTCCAGATACTCCTCCGCTCCGAGATGGGAAGAGTACCGATCCGTGGCCTATTACCCGGTTTCCAGGGGACGATCCTTGCCACGAGCTCCTCGGGATCGTTTCCATTCAACACCCAGAGACGCCCCGAGGGCTCCATCTAGAGAGAGCGGCAGATCGGAGTCGCCAGGAGATTCCTCTTCCAGTGCACCACCTCCTTACTGGATGGAATCTGATGAGTCTGAGGCTGACTCGACCTCGCCAGATGCAGCGGTTACTTCGCAAGGCCCGGGGTCACCTGAAGAACCGTACATCTCTTTCAATGCATTAATGGCCAGTCTGGTGAGGTTGCTCGATATCAAAGCCCACCAACAACCGGGACCGAGCACTGACCGTTTTTATGATGTAGTCAGGGGTGAATGATCCACCTCTATTGCCTTTCCGTTCATTACGACTCTGCGGCAGGCAATGACTCAGCCATGGGACCTCCTGGCCCACCCACAACCGACTTCATGTAAATATGAATCTATGTATTGGGTTCGGGAGGAAGACATCCTGTTCCTCCTCCGTCACCCCAAGCCGAACTCGATTGTTGTGGAATCTTTTCAGGGCCGGGAAGCACGTGGACACACCTCGCCTCGTGATAAGAAGGGAAGAAAAGTTGACTCCCTTGCCCGCTGTTCGTCGCTTATCATTATCGGAAGGACTCCACGGATTCTATTCCAGATATTTTACGATCCCAAAACGAGATCGGGGTCTCCGACCCATATTGGACTTGAGAGCTCTCAATAGATGCATAACACCAAAGAAGTTTCAGATGACCATGCTCCAAAATATACTTCTGTAGCTGGGGAGAGGGGATTGGTTCGCCTCGCTGGATTTGAAGGATGCCTATTTTCATATTTCAATACATCCACGTCATAGGTGCTTCCTTCATTTTGTGGTAGACTCTGAAATCTATGAATTCAAGGTGTTACCGTTTGGATTTGCCACTGCACCAAGAGTTTTTACGAAGTGTATGGCCCCTGTCTGCGCACATCTTCGTCTACGTGGAATTCGGATATACCCGTACCTTGATGATTGGTTGTTGGTTTCTGACACAAAAGCAGGACTTTCATCTGCTGTTGATATTACTTGTACAGAGACCTTGGACTCTGTATTAATCAACAGAAGTCTTCTCTTCTCCCTACGCAGACGATCAACTTTATTGGAGCCCGGCTGGATTTGATGTTGACAAGAGCCCTTCTTCCTCAAGATAGACAGCATACTATTGCTCGGTGCATCTCTCGGATTTGACGAGAAAGGACTGTCCCTGCCCGATCTATCCAGAGCCTGTTGGGACACATGTCTGCATCTATCGCCGTGGTTCCGCCTGCAAAACTCAGGCTACGCCTTCTCCAGCTATTCTTCAACGGGATGTTCCGACCACAGAGAGATCCACCTACCAAACGGATTCGGCTCCCGGCCTCCGTTCTTCAGTCCCTGTTATGGTGGATAGATCCAGCCAATTTAAATGTCGGTGTCCCATTTCGACATCGGTACCCTACACTGACTCTCGGTACCGACGCGTCTCTTCTCGGATGGGGAGCCATTTGCTCCGACCTAGGTACCCAAGGGGTATGGAGTCCCCAGGATTCCAGGAACCACACCAACTTACTGGAACGTCTTGCTGTTTTCAAAGCCCTGCAATCGTTCGAGGATGTACTTCTTCACCAGGTTGTCCAGGTGACCTCGGACAACATGGCTACAGTCTTTTATTTGAACAAACAAGGGGGAACCTGGTCCCTGAAACTAGCCCACCTGTCGATACAAATTTGGGAGTGGTGCATACCGAGAGGTATCACTCTTCTAGCAGTACATCTTGCAGGCACGGACAACATAGAAGCAGATTTCTTGAGCAGACATATGTCGCAGTCACACGAATGGGAACTAGACCGTCGGGTTCGCAACAGACTGTTTCACCGCTGGGGTCCGCCAGACATAGACCTGTTTGCCACACAACAGAACAGGGTGTGCATGAACTATTGTTCCAGAGTGGGGATGGGACAGGGGTCGTCCTGGGATGCCTTCATGATCCCCTGGAACGACATGGCCTTTTACGCTTTCCCACCAATCCCCCTCATCATGAGAGTGTTGGCAAAGATCATTCACGAAGGAGCCACAGGGCTACTAATAACCCCCTGGTGGCCACGCCAACCATGGTTCTCAACTCTCCACATCTCTTGGGAGGATTTTCTCCAACTCCCTTTTCTTCCTTATCTCATTACTCAGAGGGAGGGCATGATCCGACACCCAGACCTGTTGTCGCTGAAACTGACTGCCTGGAGGATCCGATAACCGTATGTGCTGCACCAGTGTCGACGCTACCGGCAATCCCTACTACCTGTACTTCACGAACTTTACATCCAGATGCAATATAGTCTCGAATCTGCATTAAGGCCATCCACTAGAAAATCGTATGCAGCGAAATGGCGTCGATTCTCCAGCTTTGCAGAATCCCACTCGTTTCCGGCGTCCTCGGCATCCGTTCAGCAGATTCTTCAATTCCTCTTCGAATTGCACCAGTCTGGACTTAAACCTTCTTCCGTAAAAGTATATACAGCGGCGATTTCTTACTACCGTGGAACTGTACATGGTTTCTCCATTTTTTTCTCAACCTCTGATTAAAAGATTTTTGAGAGGATTGGGTAACCTCCATCCAACAATAAGGCCCCTGATGCCCACTTGGAGTCTTTCAGTAGTTTTACAAGCACTGACTCGGCCACCTTTCGAACCCATGGCTACAATTTATCTACGCCTTGTCTCATGGAAGACTGCTTTCCTCGCAGCAGTTATTTCAGCTCGTAGATCTTCTGAGCTTTGTGCCCTTAGGCTAGACCCCTCTTTTCTGAATTTTCATAAGGAAAAGGTAGTTCTATGGCTGGATCCGTCCTTTCTTCCGAAAATCGCTACTTCGTTTCACATGCAGCAAGAGATCGTTTTACCAGCCTTCTTTCCAACTCCTTCAAATCCGATAGAGAGATCTCTGCATATGCTGGATGTTTGTCATTGCTTAGCCTTTTATAGGTCCAGGACTGAGTCTGTTCAACACTCCAATAGACTTTTGTGAAATACTCGGAACACGACCGGGGCTGTCCAGTCACTTCCCAACGACTTTCCAAATGGATAGTAAATACAACTGCTCTGTCTTACCAGTTGGCTAAATTGGACTTACCATCTACTCCAAGAGGTCATTCTACAAGGGCTTTGCTGCTTCCTCAGCCTTTGCATTGGGAGTCCCGATGGAAGACATCTGCAGAGCTGCCGCTTGGGCTACCCCGTGTACCTTCGCCAGACACTATAGACTTGATGTCCGTGCCAGACAAGATTGCTCTTTTGGCAGGGCCGTTCTTCTGTTCTTCGTTGATGACACCTCCCTCCTCCATTTGGGGTAAGCTTGTTATTCTACCCATATGTGTGATGCACAGAGGCCACAACGAAGAAGAGCAGGTTGCTTACCTGTAACTGATGTTCTTTGAGTGGCCATCTGTGCAGTCACACAACCCACCCTCCAACCCCATTTGGTGTCATGGGTGGTCCAACTTTCTTCTCTTTGATGCTAGGATCTCTTTAGATATTTGTCGTACCACTGCCGTTTTGGTTTTTTGTCATGATGACAATAACTTTATTAAGGGAGCAAACGTCAGTCTTTCAAAGACTGGAAAATGGAGGACACTCCGCTCCTTATATAATGCTAGGAGGGAGGGGGAACGGAGTTCCCGCCAAAAACCGTTAGCTGTTAATCTTCCGGCCAAAAGCACTGCACAGGTGCAGAACCCATATGTGTGACTGCACAGATGGCCACTCGAACATCAGTTACAGGTAAGCAACCTGCTCTTCACCTAGCAGTTTGGCGGGATAATAAAAAGGGGGGAAAGCCGTACACAGGAAAACAAGGTATATCATCCCGCCTCACTGGCTTGCCATAAACAGATCACAAAGGGCGCCGCAGTGGCTGGTGGTGAAGACCGAATGACCCCACTCCATTAGTGGGTAACTGTCAATTGCTATCTTTGTATTTTATGGATTTGCCAAAGTGCCTCCTTGACCCTATAAAGTTCACAAATGTAAACTTTTCTAGCAGGCCTGTTCAAGATAACTTTAGTTTAGAAGGCTTGTCAAAGGCATCCAATTAGAGTGAAATTGTGAGAAGTAGACGATTACTGTGACTAACAAACTAGAACAGGTAAAGCTATGGATCACTTAGTGATTAATAAAGTTATTGTGATTAACACTAACTAATAGACTACAAGATGTAATTGGTAGACATGGCATTAAACTTTTGAACTTAGAACCCAAAGTATGGCTGCGTAATTAGCTAATGCATATTAATAGTGCATATTAATCTTGCCTCCTACTATGACTCAGAGGGTTATTAACATGAACATGGGACGTACGAGCAGGTGGGGGTAACATACCAAGGAGTTGTATGATGAAGGCGGACGGGAAGAATGGGAATTCCCAGTATCCCACCAACGGGAGAAAGGAGGCAGGGACTTTGCGCGTGAGTAGGGAAGAAGAGGCTGTGGGAACTGCTCCCCCAGGGCACTGCCTTTGGGGTGAGCGCCCGGTCTGGCCAGAACGAATTAAACTGTCGCTGCTTGGTACTTTGCCTCCCGCATCGTCATTGCTTGGATTCCATTCCTTACAACTGGGGGTTCATCCGGGATAATGGCTCGTCCTGGGTGAGTACTTCTCCAGCCTGCACCAGGGAGACGCGTCCTGCCGGTTTCGGCGGCCTAGGTCAGGTGGAGGGACCACCTAGGCGCAGCTCTATGTAAAATTTTGGACGAAATACGCGGACAAAGAGAAGCAGCCGGGAAGGGGCTCTGTTGGTGGGACCAATAGGTGGGAGCCAAAGCTGCGGTCGCCAGGCAACTCCATACACAGACCAAGGTAAGGAGCGAGCGGGACTCCCAGAACTGCCTTGGTGGTGAACAGGGCGGAGGAAACCTCTGAGGAAGGAGGGACAACCCGCTGTGTGAGGCTTGAGAGAGAGAGAGACATACACAGGAATACGAAGCTAGTGTGGAGTCTGGACCCGCGGTTCCTATCCCGCCCCCCCGAGGAGGACGGCCGGAGAAGGACGAAGCGGATGCACTGGTTGACTGACTGGAAGCCTTGGGAAAATTAGGGCCACTAGCGAGTGTTAAGTCCACTCGGGACGAGAACAGGTTCCGCTCCTGACCTACTAGGGACTAAGAGATCTGAAAGACAGGCATGGGATCCTCAGGATCCAAAGCCAAGCCCAAGGAGGGCAAGAACGGGGGCAAATTACCCCAAATTCCTCCCAACAGTCCTCTGGGATGGAGGTTGAAACATTGGGAAGGACTTCCCTACACACCGGGGAAAAAGTAGGGAAAAGATGGTTAATTACTGTTGTTTTGTTTGAACAAAGGGAGAGTATTCGACCCCCAGCAATATTCTGGCTCCGATTTGGGGCAGATGAGGGATGGTTATGTCAGGCCCTAAACATTTATGTAAATAATAAGGACCCTTTCTCTCAAGAAGAATCTGACTATGCTGATGGTTGGTTACAAGCAGCCTCTGTAGGAATCTAGGTGGGGCACTTGAAACGGGAGTGAGCTGAGGAGAGAGGAGAGATTGATTTCTCTCATGAATATGGACAACAATAGGAAGGTCAGGGGTCTCCTTATAGGAGGACCCACTGGGAACCTTTGATACATTTGAAAGTGGGACCATTTGGGAAAGGCATGGCATTTATGGTAGGCTCTGGAGCTACCTGCTCCACCATGAATATGATTCCAGATGGAATGAAATTGGGAAAAGGGGAATTGATGGCTCAAGGAGTGGGAGGTAATCTGGTAAAAGGAAAAATATTTGAACCTGCTCTGGTCAAATATGAGCATGGTGCAACCGTTGTGTGGTGTGTTTTTGTAGTGTGGGAGGAAATTTGTAACTTGGCAGGGAGAGATCTCCTAGCCGGACTGGGACTTTTGGTAGAAGGTATTGGAGGAGAGGTAGAGACGAAGCTAATGAGGAGGACTGATACTGATTTATCTCTAAAACCACAGGCAGCTGGTGCTTGTGAGGCCTGGAAGGAAAAGTGGAACACTTTGTGGAAAAAAGGGAGAGAGAAAGGGCGGGGGGGCATGATGCCTCTCCCTGTGAGAATTTATTACATTGGGCTCGAGAGTGAGCAGGCCATACCTTAGCAATAAGAAAGGGCAGATGCCACTGTGACAGGTTCTGCCTGGGTTTGTGTTTATGTTTTTGTGTGTGGTTAACAACCATTTGCCACCTCTGAGTTGTGTAATTAGAAGAATCAGAATCCTAGTATTTCCAGAGGATTCTGAAAAGGTGATAAGTTTGCTTATTTATTTATTTAAAACATTTCTATGCCGCCCATTGCAACAAAGCCTCAGGGCAGTTCACAACATAGATAAAATATACATAAAAATCCAATCAATAATTTAAAAACTGGTACCATCTTGGCTATATATATTAAGATCTATAAATACAATAATAATGAATTAACAGTTAAAATAACTTTTAAATATAAAGGTTTCAAAGCACTAATTGGACTAATGCCTGAAGGGCAAGCTGCATTCCAATAAAACAAAACTCCAGGAACTAGGTTTCAGGTTAAATGTTAGAAGATAATCTTTGAGGGTCAGGAACCCCTAGAGAATGGGATGGGTTTAATGGGAGGTGGTTGAGGCCCATCAGTGAAGAAGTTTGGACAACCGCATGTTGTGGATTGTAGGAACAGAGCTGGTTGAAACGGGTCAGCCTAGATGACCAGGGGAGTACCCCTTTCTGACTCAATTTGTTTCTATGTTTTATTGCTCATCTTGGAATTATGTGCAAATGATGCTGCACATCTCCTCTGGAAGGGCTCAGGTGCCCCATGGAGAAGAGAGCTAAAGGAAAGTTTATGAGGCTATGGTGAATAGGAGCACTTTTTAATTTACTACTGCAGTATTTACTGAGGAAGGGGAATCAAAGAGAGGGCTGGTATTAAAGGGATGGAGGGAACAGCCTGTGCAGTCACAGCCTTATTGGCCGAAGAAGCCAGGAAGTTAGCTATGGGGGAAGCTTTGGTGGTAACAATGGCACCTCCAGTGCAAGCTCTGTTAACCTGTACTCAGAAAAACAATTCTTGCCATCCCACCTCACTGCCTTGCCATAAGCACATCGAAAGATGCCTCGGTGTCTGGTGGTGAAGATCAGGTGACCCCACTCCATTAGTGGGGAATCTCTGTGTTTTATAGGCTTGCTAAAGTGCCGCTCTAACCCTGTGCTTAACTTGGCCAGCCTGTTCAAAGTAACTTTAGTTTGGAAGGCCTGTCAAAGGCATCTAATTAGAGTGAAATGTAACTTTTCTTTATGGTGCTGTGATGCGTATGTAATCACTTTCCTATCCTATATAACCCTAATGGAATTAGCATTGGGAGTTCCTTCTTAGGCACCCATGGATACAAAGTAATAAAAGGGAACCCGGTGAGGGATAGTCCTCCTCCTGGTCAGCCAAAATTTGTGAGTTATGGGCTCTGAAGTGAGCTCTGAAATTGTAGGAAGGAACTGGGAACGGAGAAGAATCTAGACTCTGGAAGATGGGTAATGTCTGATGGCTGAGAATGGTTAAGGGACTAGCTAGGCAAGTAATCCAGAGACTCCATGAAAGGAGCCTTTGGGGAGCGAAGGCTCTCGTAGATCAATTTCTAAAAACATACGTGGCATTGGGATGTATTTGGGCTAGCAAATGCCTTTGGGAAAATTTGGCAGGAAAGGAGTTTGATCATGAGAAGAGGAAAAGTTTTGGTGCGTGAGAAGTTGGTGCAAGGACTGTAAAAATTGGCTCATGTAAAGGGAGATCAGTCTGGGAATGGCGAAGAAACGAGATGAAATAGACTGGCAGGCTTGGAAGCAAAGAGGGCTTCTATTGAAGAAGCTGAGGCTCCACTATCAGTACTGAACTTGATCCCCTTGGTTGGAGTTCCTTTTCATAAGCCTTAAGTATGATAAGGCTGGAGTAGCAAGGATGAAGGAACTGGGATGAGTCAGACCCTGAAGCAGCAATTAAAGAAACTAATAACGGAAGCTAAACTGCCTTGGACAAAGTGTTTACCTACAGCCTTGCTCCAAATATGAACTGCTCCAAGGAAGGATACAGGAATATCACCCTATGAAATGCTGTTTGAATTCCTTACTTGGGGCGGGTAGAGGAGTTACCTAGTTTCCAGTCAAAAGATAAATTTCTGCAGAACTGTATACTGGGGATGTCTTTATCTGCCCTCAGGGGGAAGGGACTACTGGCACAAACAGCTCCACTGGCCTTCACAGGACGTCTGTTCAAAACCGGAGACTGGGTTCTGGTAAAATCCTGGAAGGACTCCAAGCTGCAACTCGAATGGGATCGCCCACTGCTGGGTGTTACCGATGAGCGAAACTGCTGTCTGGACAAAAGAAAAGGGGTGGACCCATAACACAAGGGTGAAGGGACCAGTGCCACCGCCAAAAGCGCGGACAGTGGATCCTGGTGATGGGCCTTGGAAGCTTAAGCTCTGAAAGACCGAGCACAGGAGGGTTGGTTAGGCGACACTGCCTGGCTCTTGGATGTGCCGGTTTTGCACGTGCTCTTGCTGATGCGAGAGCTGTTCTTGTGCCCACTGCCCTGATTGTGCTCCTCTACACAATTTCTGTACGAAAAAGTGTGATCCTCCTGGTGGGGAGAGTTGTTTGGTGGAGACTTGTTGAAATGGAGATGGCAGTTGCGGGGGGGACGACTGCTGCCATGTTTCATGCCCCTGATAACACAAACACTTCAACGAGCTGTGGAATCTATCCAGCTGACTCCAGTACCAAAAACAAACCAGTGTGGGGAAAGAACAATGACCTTTTCAGTGGTGCCGAAATATGAGGAGTTCGAAGCTGAGAAGGCTATGCTACAGGGACTTTTAGGGAAAACTGATGGAGAATTAGTCACAGTAAGATAGAACCAAAAGAAAAAGGGTGGATTGT